ATTATATGAATTATATGAATTATACACACCCCACCACGTCCTCTAGCTAAGACCACCTCCTAGTGGCTCACATGGGCATTACAGCTGTTTATTTATTATGGGCGGGACTCCTGCTCCTCTTTGGCCCCTCCCCTTTTTGCATAGTCAGGGCCCTGACGTAGGCGTTCGAGGGTAGCAACAGTTGCCTCGAGACCCCCTCGCGCCATAGTGACTGTAGCCGTGGAGACAGTTACTTACCAACGGGCGCAACACTCAGCAACAGCAGCAGCAGCATCTGGAAGTCACCGAGCGAGTGGGAGAGAGGGGAAAGAGAGAGCACACAGCCAGGGCACAACTTTTCTCAAGGCGAAGGTGACTATATTTTTTTAATAGAATCTAGACGCTGGATTTCGTCTTAATTTCGGGAGGAAAATGTCGGTTTCTAACAACACAACTTTCCCTTCTTTTGCGGCATCCGCCCCAAGTTGAGAGCGGCTTTTTTTTTTTTTTCCTCCTCCATTTTGTGTTAACTTAGCCCGATTAGCACTGTTATTTCATGACGGCTTGTGTGAATGACTGAATCTTTTTTTTGCATCAGTGTGCATGTGCCCCCATGTTAACCCCTTCCCTCACTGCTGAGTTCACATGGCAGCTCATGAACAAAAATGACATGAATTTATGTTGAACTGTAAATGAATTGACATCCGTGCTGCACCCTCCACGTTAAAGATGCTTTTACTCATCTTTCCATACAGGCTACATCTTATCCTTTTGTAACTCTGAATAACTTTCTTTTTAAAAATTGGTATTGGTTTTAGGTTAGATCATACAATGATAACATACATTAACTGACAAATTAAAACATATGATATTCTGAGGTTTGTAGCTGGACATAAAGCTGGATAGTTTGGTGTATCATGGCAGCAGAAGGCAGTAAAGTGCCTCAGTGTGCTCTTTTTTTGGTTGCACAGATATTTATACAATCCATGTTGCTTACTTTACTCATTGCGGTATCTTTTTTCAAATAAAATGTCACTTCAAAGGTTTGAGACTTGATTAATTTCTTTAAATGATTAATTTCTTGTGAATTTATCGCCTGCGATACCCACAGGCTTTATTAATGGTTAAAAACGCTTTTGTTAATGCTTTATAGATCAGTTATTAAAAAGAAGAAAACTGGAGCTTATTTTACAAAATGACAAAGTGACATTTGTTCTGTCTTCTTAAATTAATCATTAGTAGTTGGCTAATTAGAAAATGAGGAGATAATGACCCAGCATTACTAAATTATTCATTAGTAAGTTATTCATTAGCCCTTGGTTGCAGCTTTTTAAAACTTTTATTAGAAACTGGATTTCACATTTAGGAATAGGTTTTTTTCGTACCTTTCACATGATGAGTTCACATTCATTTAATTTCACATTTCTCATTCACTCACTTTTTCTTTCTTTTAGTTTTGTATGTGGTCATTTCTTTAATATATTTAGAGCTAATCCAGTAAGCAAACCATTTTACAATGTCTTGAACCCATGCAGGCACAAAAAGTACAAATGTAAGGTTGCACACTTGTACTGGCTTCATGTTCAATCAGCAATACTACACTTATGACTCATTCATTCACTTTCACTCAATCACACCTACTGAGCAGTAATCAGGGGATTGGTCAGCTGACTATGGGCGTTTACTCTTTCACCAATCAGACTTCGATCTCCTCCAGCCAATCCTGTCGTTGCTGTTAAACTTTATATTTGTTCTCCCCTCTGCTGTTGTCAGCTGTCGTGTCAGTGTGACATTATTGCGACCCTCCTCCACCCATTCATCCTCCAGTTCATCATATCCAGCTCATCCTCCTCATCCCACCACAACCACCAGTGTTACTATCTTTATTGTGCACGTCTGTTCAAATATTCGTTCATTCAAAATGAAGTCCCTCCTGATCGAAATGCTTTTTTCAAACCAATATTCCACCACATTGCTTCATGTACTCCAGGCACTATTAAAGGCATATTGATAAGTGTAAGACTATATAGAGCAGCCTATGTTCTTTATTTGACAGCTATTACATGAGATTTAACATAGAAAACACACGATGCACAAATATTTGAAGCATTACACAAAAGTATAAAAAGAAGTAAAAAAAAAAAAATCTCATCTCTTGCATTAAACCGCTGCTACACATGAATGCATCCAAAACTATAACACAAAAATATAAAACTCTAAAATGTTACTCTGCGTCCAGTTTCCATTTTGAACAGTAGGTGGCTCTCTAGACATCATCTTGCATTTGCTCGATCTCTGCAGTGGCGCCGTGCAGCTGCAACACAATGAGCTACTACCTGCACATCTCAGAGAGCTTTCCCCATCGACACCCACAGGGGAAGCTCGAGTTAGGCGCAGCTCTATCTCCCCAAAATCTCCAAAAGCACTTGAACGCACCAAAAATGGGCGAATGCCCTTTTACGACGTTTATTTTCCTCACACGCTGTGCTCTTCGAGGGGCGTTTCATTCATTCACTGCCAAATCCCGAGGCTGGGAACTGGCAGTTTGCAAGCTGGCACAGGTGGGTCACCCGCCCTTCCGCCATTGGTCTAGGAGGATCATAAGTCAGGACCTCGCCGCTGATTGGCCGGTGAGAGTCAGACGCTGTGAGCTGTGTGGCGCGTATGTTTTGGGGCTTTTTTGAACTGCAGTAACCTCGGTCATGACAGTCTGGGGTGATGTTAATATAATGCAACTTCACAACACATCACACCATAGTAGCGTCCTGAGTCATGCTGTACTCTCATTAACTGTGTGGTAGTTTATAGAGCTGTGATCCCATCAAAGACACAGTGAGGGGAGGTGGACAGCAGTAAGTACTCATGTACTTCAGTATGTCTAGTGCAGCTTTACTTTACTCCAATGCATTTAAATGGGGAGAATATGGTTGTTTTTGTACTCCACTGCATTTATATGACAGCTCTTGCTTTGTAAATTCATATTATTAATACAAAACATAATCCACAAATAGCATAGGGCAGCATATAAAGTAGTTCAAATTAACATTTAAGTTAATCTTACACATTAATGCATCAATAATTAGAATCCAATAACATGCAATGGACAATTCTGTATAATGTGTGCACTTCTGGTACTTTAAAGATCCCCTCTGTACGTTTTAAGACACAATACAAACAGTCTGCATTACATAGCAAATGCTGATGTAATATAAACTGGTCTCCGGTCAGCACACTGGTCCTACATTCCTCTCTGCCCTGTGTAAACCATTTAACACATGTTCAGAGAGCTTTCTTCATCTGCAGGCAAGAGCCAATAGCTGCAGTATTACATAGTTGGGATATATTGGACTTGCATGCTTATGTCAGCAGCAGACTGGGATGTGTGGAGTTCTTCACTGCGCACACTAAAAAACACTGGGTCAAAACACCCCATTGGGACTGGGTCATGTTTTTTTGGGTTACTGAATCAGAACAACCCTTCTGTCGGGAGGTTTTCTCCTCGTTGCTACCTGGTAAAATTAACCCAGCATTGTGTTGGTGCAATTTTGGCCCCCACACTGTATCAATTTTTAACCCAGTGTTTTTTAGAGTGCAGGAGACAAAACCTACACAGGGAACTGAAAACAGACAGACTAGCCCAGTTAGGGTATTACCAGAAAACTGCAGATCATTTGCATCCGCACACAAAAAACAGCTGTGGGAGAAGTATTTAGGTATTCAATGTAAAAATACTCTATTACAAGTAAAGGTTATGTGTTTATAAAAGTACTTAGTAACTTTATCAGCAAGATTTTGCTAAGTAAATATAATTGTCAGATAAATATCATGTTAAATGTACAATATTTCATTGTGACTCATGTATTATTAAGTTGTGTGTGGGGTGAAAGTTTAGCAGTGGTGGAAAGTACCTTACTTCAGTACAATTTCAAGGTACTTCTACTTTCATTTTATGCTGCTTTATACTTATACTCCACTATATTTAAGAAAAGAATCTTTTTATTCCACTGCATTTATTTGAAGACTATGATGTGTCAAATAATGGGCAAAACATTTTCTATGCAAAATATGAGCTGATTTTATGAATCAGGGGTGCATCTAGCCATTGTTTTCTTGGCTAATTCATGAATTGTTTGGTTTATTAAACGTCTTTCCATCAGTTTCCAAGATCCCATGGGGATGTCCACACTCCAAAACCCCCCAAAATGCCTCCATCTTGCATCAAAAATCTACTTTACATGAGACACCAACAATGTACCTGAAGTGAAATTCAGACAGAAGGATTACTTCCCTAAAACTGTGCAATGACGAAGCCTGAATCCAGCCCCGTTCATCACTTAAAACACCAGATATCCTGACAGCCTGTGGCCTCATTCTTCGCAGAATCAAGATTAAATGCTTCCCTCAGGTGGTTTGTTGTTGTTAAGACTATGCTGGGCCTGCAGCAGCAGCTGGATCATCTGTTTCACAGACCTGCCATGACAGCTCACATAGAGACCTAAACTAAGAACTTCAGATGGGAGAAATGTGTTTAAATTTATACCAGAATCCAATTTAAAAAACAATATTTCAAATATTGTTAGATATATTTACAAGGAGCTCAACGGGGAAACAACAATCTGGCATACATGTTTAGTTTTATATGTTAGATTTATGACCACAGAAAGCAAAGACACAATATAGAAAAATGAAAGAAAGTGCGACAACGGTTTTGAATTACGTGTATTGAAAATATTGTGAATTTTATTTCAGAATAGAATACAGTTGAGATTTGACGTTATCATCCATCAGTGACAACCTTTTAATCCTTCTCATCAGTAGGAAAACGTAGATTTTGGCGCTCTGGGCAGCAGGAGTTGTTTGCATGTCTTGTGATATATTGTCGAGGTTTGGTTACGTGCTCCAAGATTCATCATGACAGCACCTTTGTCTGAAAGTATACATACCGAGATGCCGTGATGGGTTGGAACAAGTTGGCACATCCGTCGGGGCCCGTATTTTTGCAAGTTAAATTTCACGATTGAGCGTTTGCACCAGGCGTTAAGGTTTGTATCTGATTATTTGAAAATGAACCTCTATCGTCTATTTGCATTTTACAGTACATTTATGTTGTCATGCTACCGTTTGCCTAAATTAAATGCTCGTATGGTTTCAGAATAAAAATGATTATCCACCTGTTGCTTCAGCCTGTAAACATGGACCTCTGTCAGATTTGTTTTGTGGTAGTTTAACCTTTTTTGTCTTAACTAGACAGGACGTGAAGAAGACCAGGAATGGATGCAAGTCATAAGGCATTAGGTTGTATCCTGACTCTTGGGGGAAAAAAAAAACAAACAGTTGCTCCAATTTGATATAAATCTTTTTTTTTAACGAGACTGTCTGCCAAATCTTGGAATGCAAAAAAACCGGTTCAGGTTAGAGCAATCTTTTTTTTTTTTTTGTCAATAAGGAAAAGAATAAAATAAATACATAAATAAGATAATATAAGCATTCCTCACACCAGAATTTTAAGATTGACATAAACATCGAAATCTTTTGCAATGACAATCAGCTTTTGTAGGACATCGAAGGGAAACCAGACCGCGTCTCAGAAATCACCATGGCAACAGTTCTGATGATCCAAAAGCGATGCAGCTGCACAGTACATTACAAAAATAGACACAGCTCTGCCATTAAGAGTCACCGACGAAACACCTCACCACAACACCTACTACAGTATATCATCATGCATGGGTGGCATGTTGTTTTGTAACACCAGAACTGTCACGTGACTGGCTGCTACAGCAACCAATGAGATCTCTGCTGCAGATGTTTCAGGACAAAAAGGACAGGTTGGATAAAAGTCTCAAGAGGAAGCGAAGCCACTGATGCCACAATGTTAAAAAACTTCCACAAATGATGCTGAGTGAAGAAGCAATATCGACTTAGTGTGCTCTAGTGGACCACTGAGATGGTTATAAATATGTCGACTGTTGGCACGCTCTTGGCACTATAATATATTCATTAAAAACACAAAAAAAGTCAATTAAACATGGCTCTAAGTTCAAATGACATTTATAATTGACTGTTAATATTGAACGGCAGTTTTAGTTTAATGATAAATGTGTCCCTTATATTGTCATGTTTGACATGTTCTACACATTTGGTTTGGTTAGAAGAAAACCAAGTTACACACTGCACTACACACTGCATGACTCAGCTTCCATACAGTTTTGGCATTACCGGTTGTCAGTATAGTCGGGTTATAAGATGGTCTGGGTTCCCTCACTCTTCCGTCATGTGCCATATTTCATTAAAGCCAGCAACTCTTTAACAAAACAAACAAAAACTCTCATCCCTTTTTTCCCCCCCAGATCTTTAAGAGCGCTCAAAATGTGAATTTATATCAGAAATGTAAAAACCTCCTGTAAACTGCAATAACAGTCACCTTAACCGTTGAAATGTTACTCTGTATTTCAGTGCTCCACTTCTTGTCTATTTTGATTAATAATTGAGTAATACTTACATAAAAATGATCGGCTACATGACTTTGCATGAAGAATGCACACCAAAGTGGCAAAACAGCGGAGAATGAAGTTGACTTTTAAAATGCATCTACTTCAAATCTAAAACATCTTTGCAAGATCTTGGCCTGAATGAACAATATAAATCGAGGCCAAGACCTTAGCTAAATGTGTTTGTTATCCATCTTGAACAATTTTGTTAAGTTACAGCTACAAAAACCACAAAAAACAAGCAAAATGTGGTCAAGGCCCTCATTAAGCTGACTTTTATCCTCAGAGGATGAGAAATGTATAGCTGTCAAAGAACTGTGAAGCTTCTTCCTTTCGGTTTTCCTGCCTTGAAGCTGACCACAATTCAACAATCTTAGCCACTCCGGTGGCTCCCGTCTCCGGTGCGCTGTATTCGGGCCGTGATCAGCTCGCTGGACACTCGCTTGCGGTCCTTCGCCAGGCCCAAGAAGCACATGAAGTCGATGAAACAAGTGGTAAGGTTCAACTTGCAGCCAAACTCGCTGGTGGCATAGTCATAGGGGAAAGAGTGGTGATAATTGTGAAATCCCTCGCCTGTAAGGAACAAGAAGCAGTCGTCAACAAATCAGAGAGAAAACAAGAAACAATTAACAGGACGTGGTCAGACTCTGCAAAGCTAGATGACGTTTACTAGATATTTAAACCCATTAAGGGTTCACATCACATCAATAAAAGTAACCACATCTGTAATCAGCAGTGATCTTTATAGTTAGAGGTTGTGTTGTGTTGTTGTTCTACTTGACATGCCATTGACATTTGATGGAAAGTTCAAGGACCAGTGTGTAGGATCTAGTGGCATCTAGTGGTGTAGTTGCACATTGTAATTCCCTCGCTTCACCCTTCCAAGCGACAAGGAGAAAAACTGTGAACGGCCAGTGTGTGGTTTGTCTGTTCCCGGGCTCATTCTAAGGTAAGGTTGTGTTATCATTAAGGTTGTGTTATCATTATTATCAGTCATGAGTCTTAGTCTCTCCAACCTTATCTTTGTTCAGGAATTTGAGTCTATCTTTTCTTTTGTCGCGTGCATGCGTTTTTCATACCTATAGCGCTGAACGCGACAAACTTGTTCTCCCTGGGGTTGATGTTCTTGTCATAGGGCCTGTTTCCCCACATGTGAGCCGCGCTGTTGACCAGCCAGGTGGCGTTCAGGACCATGGTGTACCTCAGCACTGCCGGGATGAAGTACGCCACCCACAGAGACTCTCCCCACATGTACCAAGGCACGAACATGGGGACGAAGAAGCACATGAGCAGCACAGACGGCTTGTAATACCTTTTAGAGGAGACAAGAGTGGGCGAAGAGCAGAGAGAATGGAGGTGTTTGTTTAGCACAACATAAACATTAAACACACTAATGCTCTGCTTGTCAAACATGGGATGGTTCACTCTCACTTCCCTCCGGATGACACAGTTTTTTGTTTTTTTACAGAAGCCAACCTTGAGTAAATCTGAACATGCATGAATAAGATGTTGGTATTTGGCAACTTGTTCAACCAGAATGACTAATGGAGCCTGCACTCTAGCAAACTCTGCAGCACTGCTGGGTAAATCATAGTGGGTGGATGAGTTTATTTCTTTCTTTCTTTGCTCTTTATTTGTATTCGATATATAATCAGAAATAAAGTTATGAAATGCAATTGTGTTTATTTACTGTGCACACTACCTGCTAAAAAGGAGTAAAGTGCACTTTTTTTTTCAGAATAAATCCTTCCAGGCTGATATTTAACTGTCAGATGAAGTGTAAAATCAACCTTTGACTGAAGCCACTTACTTCCTCTGAAACATTACAACTTTGTCAGCCAGCAGGTCATTGAGCTCAAGCTTGCGCCCTTTCTCAATGACGTCAGGGTGTTTGCGCACCAGCAGCCACCCGATGTGAGCGAAAAAGAAGCCCCGCACGGCGTTGTGGGGGTCAGCATCTGTCTCTGAATATTTGTGGTGGACCCTGTGGTCTCGAGCCCATTCAAAGATATCATTCTGTGGGTTCAGGTAAAGACAGAGATTACATACACTGTAGACACAACCCGGTACTTACACAGTAATGAAAACTGCTATTATCACAGCGTTAAGTGTCTGTCATTTTTAGGTACCTGAAATGCCATGGAGTTAGCAAAGCCAAGAAAGATCCTGAGAGGTACTGAGGCCTTGTAGGATCTGTGACTCCACAGGCGATGAGCTCCTGCAGTAATTCCTAAAGCACTTATCAAAAAACAAAGTGTGGCTGTGGGGAGAAATGCATCGACAAATTAGTTTGACCACCTTGTACTCGTCTCATCCTGTCACAAGCACTTTATTGCACTAATACTGCACATTGTAATGTCTAAGCATCAGATTTTCTGTATGTTTGTACTGTCAGTATTAGAGCTTGAAAGCTTATCCTGCAACAGGTGACACACCATAAACCCATCTATGCTATATTATATATATATATATATATATATATATAGTATAAATATATATATATATATGTAACTGAAGTAAAATTGTTTTTCAAAAAGCAGAAATTATTCATTTACAATAGCATTTGTTTACCAGTTTGGTAGATTATTTGTGAATTTGCTCCACCATATAATATCTCCTGCTGAAAAGAATTAAAAGTGACTGAATTGGTTTATACTAGTCTTGTTATATGGAACCGTGAGAGTCTCTGGCTAATGTAATTGCATCATATCACCTGATGACTGGGTGGATAAAACTATTTGATGATTGCATGTAAGACTGGAAGAACTCAAATCTATTCAGAAGTGCAACATCTATGGTTTTAATATTGTCTGCACTCCTGATTTACTGCCACTGTTACTTAATGTAAAAAAAAAATGTTTACCTCTGTTGTTAATGAGTTATTTTATTATTATGTGACATTAAATCCCAAATCCTTCAATCCTGATCTATAATCCCACAACATCCAGGATACTGGGAGGCTCATGCAAACATCTATACATTAGTGGGCCTGCATGCTGACAGCTGTGACATGTACAGATTGTATTAACAGTAGAATAAAAACGTTACAATCCTCCTGTGCATACATTTTGTAGTAGGTATGATTATTATTTGTTGTACTTACACCAAAGCAAGGTCAAAATAGATGCGGAGGGGACGAGGAACATGGCGTACAGGGCAGCTAAATGCAATAGAGTCATCAATAAGACATTTTTCCATACGATGATCGTGGCAGGTTTGGGGCCCTCTTTCTCTTTGTATGTGTGATCAAACACGTCTTCTCTGGTGGCCTCCGGTAGAGCATTCCCGTTGCTGTGCTTGTGCTGCTTCTTCTCCAACGCCTCCGCCTCTGTCATCGTGGCCGCGGTTTGGTGATACTCTGGCGGGCAAAAAAACACCCCGCCCCCCAAAAAAAATAGACAAAACGTGGTTTTTTTTAATGTTTTGTGGCGATACCTAACGTCAAGGAGGAGGCCCAAACAACAACAACAACAACAAGGAAACAGAGCAGTTCGCACGGTGAATGTTAATTACTCCTGTGAAAGCTAGTTTTGAGGCTCGCTGTGGCGCTGCTGGTCGGCGCTAGTGAGGAAGAGGATGGTCATGTAATGATGATGCTTGACTTCTAGCTGACACACGACATTTGCTGCGTTGCATAACGCTGATGTTGCACTGACTAGAAACAAAATATACGCTGAAGATGAAAACCAAACTCACCCAAAGACCGGTGGAAAAACGCGAGTCCGGTGTGGAGGAGGAGGGGGGGCGGTGTTTAAAAAAAAAAACGGAGAAGAAGCTCGACACAGAACTACAGTAACCCAGAAAGGGAGAGTGAGAGTCAGCTCCGCAGCGAGCGAATCAATAAGAGCTGGAGCTGGAGGAGCCACGGACCAATCAGCGCTCGGATGTCGCATCAACCCCGCGCTCTGATTGGCTGTATGTTTATCTGCTGTTCACCTTTTATTCATTCTCCTGCCAGATGTAGCATATATTTACCTCCCCTGGAGAGCAGAGATACAGCTGTCTAGACATGTATTGAATTAATTTTTTTCCCCCTTCTTCTCCTTCTTCTTCTTCTTCTTCTTCCCCCACCCACCCATTCACACGTGGTGACTGAAGTGTTAAATTCAACCATGAAACAGGAACAAAACAAGTTACTGTACACTTAAAAAAAAGAAAAAGAAACCCAGTGTCGGAGGACCCCCGCCCACCGACACTGGGTGGAAATATATATATAATATATATATATAAGTTATCTGACGTCATGATCAGCCAAAATAGAAAGAATAAAATACAATAAATAAGATAGTATAAAATAATATTAATATTCAAGTAATATTGGAGCCTAGAGTTTCGCTTTTACGCACTGTTAAGCGCCATAAAGTGAATATTTTAGGAGTGTCATGTTTAGAAAATGCCAGAGAACAACTGAACTCTTTCTATAGACTCGCTGCTCAGTAGGAATAAACATGTTACACAGTGATTTATCATTCATGTAACGAATCCCAGTCCAAAATCATGTAACAAAAAAATTAAAAAGAATAATAAAAAGATTATTAATCTTGCAGCGACGTGAGAATACCGAGGCGATGTTGAGCTGAGACCCAAATTAGAGAGAGGGTTTAATGTCACACATCCATGAGTATTCACCTCCATGGCCTACTTTTGTTAACAGAACATAATAAATAAAATAAACTAAAATAAAAACACGCTTTGGCTCCATCTAGTGGACAAATGAGGCAGCACACACGAGAGCCGACGACCCCGTTCACATCGCGCAAACCGGAGCTAACCTACTTCTCAAAAACACCAAGTCTCCAGACACCTGCGAGCACACGGACGGTCACACGCTGTCAAAAACTGACCCCCCTGCACCCCCCCCGACCCCCCCAACAATAAAGTGACATATTATTTATGCAGCATCCGCATGACGTCATCGGCAGGCGCCCTTTTATTTACACCTGTTCGTGCGAGTTAAGGCCCGCCGCGATGGAAGTAAACAGGGACGAGGCGGAGCGCTGCGTTGACATTGCGACCGCGGCGTTGAGCGGCAACCAGCCGGAGAAGGCGCAGCGGTTCCTGGAGAAGGCGCAGAGGCTCTTCCCGACCGATAAGGCGAAGGGTGAGTTAAAATGGCCGAGCCGGAGCAAAAGGGGCGCTTCAGCTGGGGAGGTACGCAGCATCATCACCGGCAGCATCACCTGCATCCCGGATGAGCTCTGCGGCGCATGCAGCCGGGGCCTTTGGTAGCATTAGCTTTGTCCCATCATAGCAGCTCCTGAATGTCATAAATGTTGTCATTAAAAGAGAAATTCAACTGCTCCTGCCGTTGCTTAACATGAAGCAGATGTTTAAAGGGTGTCGGTGGTAACACGTATTAGTTGTTTTGACATTGCAAAGCGAAGCCTAGAAAGTCTGTTAACTGTAGGGGGAAGAGGAGGAGGCAAAATGACCCCTAGATTACCAACATCTCAGATAATCATGTTTTATTATTCAGTTTATTAAGGTAAGATATTCCTTTATTTGTCCCACAATGGGGAAATTCCAATGTTGCAGCAACAAAGTGGATAGAGAAAAAACAAATAAAATAATATAATATAATATAAACACTATGTACAAGAGAAAAAACAGTAAGAATCCACAACAACAGATAACACAAATAGTAGCAGCAATTGATTCTCGTGCCACACCTGCATACCTGGAGAATGCATGTACACACTTAATATGCACCATTGGCAGTATATATGAGGTATGCACTCATCCATACAGTCCTGTCAGATTGCTGCAGTCAGCTAAGTGCATCCTGGATAAATGTCTGTTATCCACAAACAACTGGAGTCACGGTACTCAACTTTATTTATGTTGCACCTTTCATAGAAACATGCAGCTCAACGTGCTTCACAGAGTAAGATTAAAACCGCACAGACAAAAAAGTTAAAACATAAATAGACAACAGTACATTTAATTTTGACTTGAAAGAAAGAAAATTAGGCTACAACAATAAAGCAAAGAAAAGTTAAAAATAGATGAGACTGTTCCAGAGGCCGGGGCCACAGTTGCGTGTTTTTGTTGAAACACTTGAGGCCAGCTGCAGAGGATCTGAGGGACATATCTATAGAGAGAGACAGGCTGGTCCCAGGTCATTTAATAATCAGTAACATTGTCTTAAAGTCAATTCTAAAACTGATAGGCAACAAATGCAACGACTATAGGTGTTATAAAAAAAAAAAAATAGGTGTTATGTTCTCTGCCTGGTCTCCGTTAGTACTCTGTTGCGTTCTGAAGAGGTTGTAAGTTGTCTACAGTTTTTGGGTAGATCAAACGAGAGCGCAGTAGTCACCATCAAGCTTTGAGGTTATAGAAGCATGCATTCATTTTTCTTTGTAAGCCTGAGAGAGAAATGGTCTAACCTTAGCAATGTCTCCGAGAAGATAAAATGACACTTTGGTGGGCTTCAAAATTGAGGTCAGAATCAAAGATAACCCCATATGAGTTTTTGACCTGGTCCTTGGTGTGAAAGACTAATGACTAAAGGTGCACAGACAGTTGCTCTCTAAAGGCTTTTTCCCCCAAAACATTATGATCTCTGACATCCACAATTCCTACAGCTATTGTCATTTCTTAGTTATAGATATATATATATATATATATAAGCTATAAGTACAATTTCATTTGTGTATCCCATGTGCAGTTAAGATGTACAGTTAGTGTATTATCACTATTGTAATATATGAAGTGTAGCTGTATGAGAGTATTGGATATGAGATGTTGGTTATGAACCATGAAATAACAGTTAGTGTACTAGTTTAGCTGTTTCACAAATTTCAGTGTCTAAATATCTCCTGAAAGCATCAACAATTATCCCTACAATACTGTCACATTAATATGTAGTATAATCAATATTATGATATATAGGATTATAGTAACTTAAACAAACCACTGGGGGGGTTTAAAGGCTCCATTACTTTTAGTTCTCAGCTTATATTCGAGCTGAGCTTTCTGTCTCAGAATTGACCTGGCTATAACATCAGTAGTCATTCTTAAAATACTGTCGCATGAATAAATGTTCATATTTAGGTCAGTTTTGGCATTTTTAAACAGTCTGAAATAGTGTGATATTCCAGTGGGTTGAATTGGCACATCTTTCCAATTTTAATTACAGTTTTCTCCTATTAAAAACCCAAATTAAAAAGGACCACAGGCAGAGAAATAGAGCATACAGCAAGACTAGATATTGATATGAGATTCCTGAAGGGCACCACAGTTGCTACTCTGACAATATTGTATTGATGTAGCTGTTGTAGTGATCTAATAATCCATCCAACAAATACTTTGTGTGATTGAGGGGCCTGTGTTACAGCCTATGCTGATGTGAGGGTCCTTACGATGTTATCTACTAATGCAGGGAATCCCAGTGTATGTTGAATTCTTGTCTGAATATATTCTAATGTTCACAACACTGTTATTATACCCCTTCTAGTACTGCTGGAGCTAATAGCAAAGAATGGATTCACACCTAGACAAAGCAGCCACTCAGACTCCAGCGGGGTCTCGGGGCCTCGCCAGCGACAGACCAACAGTGAGGATACCAGACCTGAGGAAAAGCCTTCAGACACAGCAAAACCCTACACAGCAGATCAGCTAGATGCTGTGAGGAGGTGAGGCTGATAATCATGTAAAACTGGTTTTGGTTAGAAGGAATAGTTATTCCTGACACCGAGAATCATGTGTTCTCTACACAGGATAAAACAATGTAAAGACTTCTATGAAATCCTCGGGGTCCAGGCGGACGCCTCTGAGGATGAACTCAAAAGATCATATAGAAAACTTGCTTTGAAATTCCATCCAGACAAGAATCACGCTCCAGGTGCTACAGAGGCATTTAAAGGTGACCGGCATGAACTTTCATTCATCAATTATTTATAGGATTGTA